CCAACAGGCAAGGACAAAGAAAAATTGGGGCACAGAATAATCCAACCTCCACACATCAACTCTCTCTGCTTTAAGGCTTTTCTCTTGTGGAAAACTGATTTTTCTGAGGAGCTTCCATGGCTTGTCTAGTCTGGGCTCTGCTGTTCGACTGTGGGGCCACCCAGGGTGGGGGCATGCTAAGTCATTGTGCCCCGAATGTCTCCTTCCCTCTCCTCTTGTAGCAGGCAGTGGGATGAAGGCTGGGTCATCCGACTGTTTTTGGGCCACCCTGAGCCACCTTGCTTCCTGCTCCCACCTCCTACTCTGTCCACAGTGATCCACACTCAGAGGGGGCAGGGCACAGTCTCACTGCAGCTCCATGGCCCAGGAGGGCCATCCCCTTCTCTGGTGCAGGTGGACTCAGTCCTCAGCATCTCCCCGCACTCCCACCACACTCCTGCCTCAAACCCTCAATCCTTGTCATCAGGGAGAGAAGGAGGCCCTGGCCCGGTGCCATCTGTTCTCACAGAGACATGGGGGCCGGTGACTCCTAGTTCTGGCTCAGGGCCAGCACCCCAACTCCATGCAGCTGTCTCCACACTTGTTGAGGCCCGAGAGGAATTTCAGCCTGTGCACACCTGTCCCTTAGAACTGCACCAGTTCAAGCAGAGAGAAAGCAGGAGACACTGGCTGAGTCAGCTCTGGCCTGGGTCTTAAAAAGTCTTGTTCATCTTGGCTAGTACTACCTGCATTCCTCTGTTGTTGGTTTTTTTTTTCCCCAATAAGGTGAGGTGAAATCCTAGGGTGCACAAGAGCCCACAATGAGGACAGGCAAGCCCCACAGTGATCAGCCTCGCTCCATGGTGTCATCCCATGAAGTCAGAGCAGGTCCTCAGAAGAGGGAACCTAACTCCTGCCCATCCCCCAGATGGGGCCAACCACCGCATCTTAGGGAATTAAACATGTATTTTGAGAAATATTGGGATATTAAAATATCTTTAATATGCACATGTGCTCACACGCGTAACCACTGTCATAGGCATGGTAAGTATCTGTTCTGGGAGGAAGCTGTCCCATCGGGAAAGGTGGGAGAAGCATGGTTTTGAAGGAGCTAGTGCCTTGGGCAGTAGGGATAAGAGGGGCAGGGTCCCTAGTACCCTGGGCCTGTGCTGGCAGTGTCTGGAGGGGGACCTGGACTCCATGAGTTGCAACATCCTGTTCCTGGTCCACCCACTGGTGTTACAGCTGCTCTGGGCCTGAGAGTGACCGGGTGACTGTAGGGCCCATTCGCCTCCCACTAGTTGGCTCTTGAAATGAGATAACAATGACAGCAGAAAGGCCCGCCTGTTGGGATCTGGAGTCTCTCCTTGTGCCAATTTAACACAGAGATAGGACGACCTTGGTGAAGGTCCATCTTGTCCTCCAGGATGTGTTCAACAGCTCTCAAGAGAGCCTGAGCTTCAGCATCTCCATCATCCACAGGCAACCTGCTTCTGACTGGTTTCTGGCTCTGGACAGTGATGGTTGAAGGCTTGTCTTTTTGCTGGGCCTCTTCCAATCCTTTATCTTTTTTAGGGACTCCCTGCTGCATAAAATTTCTCATTCTTTTTATATTAACTAATTAATATATATTTTTTTACATCATTCTTCATTTTTGGACAATGTTTGATTTCTCCTCTCAGGTGTAGTTCCCGTCTAATTCCCACCACCAGTGCTGCCATGCATCATCACCATAGTCCCTTGGGCTCTTCCTTCCCATTTTGATCCCTCTCCCTCCTCCTTCCCTGCAGCATATCTCTGGTTAATAGTTGCCTGTTGATTTTGATTTTTACTTTATTATAGTTGCGTTTTTTTCCCCGATCCCTTATTTGGATCCTCTACATTCCTCCTATAGGTGCAACCATCCAGTATATTTCTTTTCCTTTCTGGCTTATTTCACTAGGCATGATCCCTTCCAGCTCCACCCATGTTGCTGCAAATGGCATGAGTTTTATCTTTTTGATTGCTGAGTAATATTCCATTGTGTATCTATACCACATCTTCTTGATCCAGTCCTCTGGATTTAATGGTTACTTCCCAAGCTGGGACTTCTTTGATCTCTACTTCCTTCTTATTCTCTTTGACCTATGCATGTTGGGGCACTAACCTGAGGTCCAATATTGCTTTGCTCTGGTAGGAGTCTAGTGAGATGCAACCCCCACTCTCCTTCCATGGCTCCTCTGCGGTCATTACTGAACTTGGGCTTGTGTCTAGGCTACATCTTCGATCCCCCGGGAGAGTCCATCTCTGCCAGATTCAGTCCACCAAGTTATGAGTGAAGATCTGAGAAGGCAGCCTTCCGTCCAGTACAGTCACCAGTCACAGGAGCCTGTACCGGCCACTGTGTACTCCATTGTGATCACCAGATCCCATGGCCATCACCAGGTGGGGTCTCTACCAGGGGCTTATGAGTTCTTTACTCACAGGTAAGGGGACTGGGAGGGGACTCACCTGGTTGGGACAGGGGACTGAGTCTTTTGCTACCACGTTCTCTCCCAAATTGTCTGGGGGAGAGTTTCCCAAGGACTTGACTAGCTGCCTTTCCAGCCAGCCCCCAACACACAGGTGGTTGAGCTGGAAAGGACAGTCTGTGGACAAGGTGGGGGTTGAACCTTTTTCAGCTTGAAGAGATTGAGGAACTTGAGTATTTTGAGGGGCAACCTCCACTTGTACCTCACCCAAAGCCTTATAATGTGTGCTTCCAGCAAGTTATGAGTATGTAGGCCAAGCACAGCAACTCCAGGGAGGCATTATTGTTGGGTACCTGGACCATGGAGGAGATGGATGTCCAGGTGCGGGGGTGCCTTGCTGCTGCAACCAGCTAAGATGCTGGTAAACAAGAAAGGGCCTCACACTGGGGGCTGAAGACTTCCAAAGAGCCTCACACTGTGGGGCAGAAGATTCCCTACACCCCACACCATGGGGCAGAAGATTAATCTGCAACCCACAAACATCCCCTTGTTTTTTGTTCTTGTCATATAAGAAAAAACTTCTCCGAAAGTACATTGGACAATTAATTACACGTGTAAGAATACTGTAATTGGCACACAGAAATACCTGCTTAAAAATGAAACACTGTAAATTTGTCCTGCCTGACAATGGGAAAGAATTTGTTATACATGAACATGCCTGACAAGCAATCCAGGGCAATTATAGTAAGTCCTTTTGCTTTTAGAAGTTTCTTAGGATAGTTTTTAAATGAAGTTAATTGTGTTAAGAAGTTTCTAGGTAGAAAACCCTGTTAGCTGATAACCAGAAAGCAGCTGGTCTCCGGTTGAAGGCCATGTGAATAAGAAGAATCTTTTGATGCTTAGGCTTGAGCTGATAGGAGTGTACCGACGGCTATCAACTGTCTTAGGTAATTGTCTAACTGAAATAATGAGTTTTAGTGTAAGGTTTAGTTTTTTATCTGTTAACCTTGAAGGTTGCCTTCTTGCTGAGAGCATGTAGCTGCCAAAATCTATGGAAAAGAATACACTGATTACTTCTGCTTTGCTTCCATGCATATGATGATGTCATCTCACTGCTTGCCTTAGTGTATAAATAAAGACCTGCTGAGACCCTCAGCAGGAGATAGTAACACAAGACATTGCGTGTGTCTGCCTCATTCCTCAATTGCTCTGACATAGTCCCATCCTTCAGGAACCCCTGACACCCAGTTTGCCGAGGCTGGCTCCAGGCATCCAGGTTCCTTGTGAGCCCTGCACTGTCTGGGAAGCTACAAGGCATGGCTGGTCGCCAGCCTGGACCAATGACCACCCAGGGAGATCTACCCTCGTTGCTCTGCCCCACTTTCCTGATCAAATGGGTTCTCAGGATATTTTCTCCATGCTTCTGTGCCCCTGGTACAAGGCCTCACATCTCTCTTTTTGACTCCCCATAATTTCTTTCAAGAACATTCACTGGGAAGCTTGTTGAACCAATGTAGAGAACTGTTAGGATTTCCCCCACACAATCCCCCAGGTTTCTGCTCATAGCCTTCTCTGGAGAAATACTTGATGGGCACTTGGACCCATATTCTGTGTATTCTGGCTGCTTTGGCCTATAAACACTGAGGACCATGAGCACCTCTGCCTGTTCTATGCCTGAAAAGCCCCTGGGAGCATGCCCCCAGTCTGCCTCAGGTCCACAGGTGCCTGAACCTTGTGGGACAAGCCAACCTGTCTTTGGGAGATTTTCTTCTGAAGTGGTAACTCCAATTTCTCCTATTGCTCAGGGCTGCTCAAAACTTTTGGAAGGACAGAAAATGGACCTTGGAGTCCCCAAAATCCTAGGGGGGCCTTGGGGGGCACTTTGCTCAGGACTTCTTGTGATTTTTCTATCCACAGCTGGAAAATTCCTACTTCCCCATTGATTCTGCAACAGGTGACATTCTAGGTTTTGAGTTACAGTTGGCACGAAAAATTGTGTCTTATTCTGGGCTGCAGGGCAAGATACCTGGGGTATCTTATCTTGAGTAATCTGGAGTACAGGCAATCTGGGGTAGCTAATCTGGGATATAGGAAAAAGATGTGGGATTGGGAGGAGGATGAGAACTGTGCTTGGGTCGGGTTCTCAGCCTGAGGAGGGGCCCATAATTGGGTTCCAGGAGGAGTTAAGTATTGGGGTTGGGTTACAGGGACAGGTGCAAGGGCTGGACCAGTGAAAGATGAGAAGCTATTTTTGATTGAATTTTCACAGATCAGACAGACAATTGGGGCCTCCCTGGTGGCACAAGGGGTTAGGCACAGCACTGTGAAGATATCCACAGCCTCTACAGGATGAGTTTGAATCCCAGCCAGCCAGGTTGCTACCCACATGGCACAGCAGACCTCTCTATCTTGCCAGCTGCTCCTCTCAACAGTATATTTCAGTCAGTCTGCCTCTTCTGTTCCCCACTCTGTCTCCGGTGAATCCTCTCACTTCCTGCACCTCTGGCCTGTACCCAGCTCTTATATGCATGAATAAATAAAAAAAAATTAAAAAGATAGGCAATTGTTTGAATAAGAGAGAGTAATATATTTTTGGGGACACAGAAACCCTGATAGGAGCCATTAGGGACTCCCTGTGACGATAGGGGAGACACCAACAGAGCCGACTTCACTTCTTCTGAAAGCGGCTTTTTAGGACCCAGCAGCTGCTCTGATTTCTCTGTCTTGATTGAGGAACATAGGAGACCATGACTTTCTGCTTGTGAATATTGGCTTGGGAGTACCCCCCCAAATAGGTGACTGTCTTGACACCTTTATCTCTTCTTTCTCCTTCCGCAATTTCAGCTCCACTTGCTTGTTGATTAGAATCTTCAGAAGCTCTTGAATATCAGGGCTGAAAGGAGGGCTACCAGTCTCCACCCATGGGTTTCTAGTGTCCCCCCGGAATGAGTCCTTTTGGGAAGGGTTAGAAAGGGGCTCGGGCCGTGACTTAGGTTGTGATGAGGCTGAAAGTCTCAAGTCTTTGGCAGTTGTCTGCCCCCAGGACTCAGATGAAATAGGATGGGTTGAGCGTCCTACGCCTGAGAGGGTTCGGACAGAAGGCGGCCAAGGGGTACGTGGAGGAGAGTACCGGGCAGTGCCCATTGGGAGTGCTTTTGAGCCACACTGAGGACAAGTCAGGGTAGTGTCTGGATGAGGGCAGCCAGAAGCAGCCTTCGGAGATGGAGGCCAGGCCTCTGATTCAGGGGGAGCTGAGGGTTGAGGTGAAAATGATGGTGGTTGGAGGGAAGGGCACTCCAGGGGAGGAGAAGGTTCTGGAGTCTCAGACACACTTAGAGATGACAGTGAAGTAATAGTAGGCGAGGAAAACATAGGTCCTGGTGCCTTTGTGGAGGTGAGAGAAATGGGGGAAGCTGACAGGGATACAGCAGGAGTCGCATCTTCCACACACTTCCTGGGATGCTGCAGAACTCCAGCAGGTGCATCTTCCCACACCTTGCCTGGGGGGTCTTGACCTAAAGACTGATGGGAGCTGCATTTTTCAGGGTGCCTCCTCAGGTGACTGCAGAAGACAGGAGGCACAAGCTACAGTCAAGAGCAGAGGGACTGGGAGGGCCAGGTAAGGTAGGCATCCCCATCCCAGGATCCCTCCACTGCCCCCAGGCTGACCTCACAATGCCCCTGCTCTGGCACCCCAGGGTTTTAACCATACTCTGTGCCCAGGGCTCTCCCTCCTGGGGTAACTACATTGCCTGCAGTCTGGTGTTACTTCTGAGGATTCGGTGAATACAGGAGAATAGGAAAGATTCCTTACCTATACAGAAGTGAAATCAGTTCTCGAACCTCTTGCAGTACTTGCAGACAATCTCTGCAAGCTGGAAATCAAGACACCAAGTCATATGGGAAAGGCAGGAACTCAGGGTCCTGACAAGAGGCTGAGGATCTGTCCCTCTAGGAGACCTTTGGGGGTTTGACTTTTCAGTCCAAGGCTACCTGATGCCTGAACTTGATAACAAGGCTCAAGACGGGGGCCTTTATCATTTACAAGTCATTTTGATCCTGAGGCCTCCTCACTGCTCTGTGGGGGAGAATGGGCAGGGCCTCCACGGGGAATCTGAGCAGGTTAAACAATTTGAATCCAGCTGAACCTAGGGGACCCACCTCCCAGGCCAGGCCCTGCTGGTCCACTCCTGCCAGTTGGCCCACAATCAACAACCATTTCCAGGCTCCCTTGGCCTCCTCTCAGCCTGGATTCTGGGCTATGACCCAGCTCTATCTCCTTTCCAGGAGCCTCCCGCATAGCTCTGTTTCCTGATGGTGAGCCCTGATTATCTGAGAACCGGGCGCTGGAACGCAGGGACAAGAGAAACGGGGTGACACTTGGTCAGGCTGACCTACAGCAGCTCACCTTTCAAAGCTCTGTGTTTCTTTCTGCTTCTGTCACTCCCCTTCAGCTGCTTATGACGCTGAAAGACAAAATAAAACAGAGGCCAGGACTCATTTCTCCCTGTCCTCCCTCTAGACCAGCTGCAGACGTTCAGTGCTCACGCACGACTTTCTGCCTTTAAACCAGTGGAGATCTGGTTTCATTTCCTTCTACTCATTTCCAAAATGGATAGAAATACTTTCTGTCTTCCTTCTTTGGAGATCACAAGAAAGGATCCTTGTGTAAGACCCACCACAGATCTCTTTCTTTTGTTTTCAAGAAACACAAATCCTCAGCCCTCCTGCTGAGCTCCATCAAGCCAGGTCGGACCTGCTTCCTGAGGCCTACCCAGAGGCTCCCATGGTCTCAGCACATCCCATCTCCTCAACAGAGATAAAGTTGGCCCAAGTCGTTGGCCACAAGGCACCTGGGGAACAGCGCTCAGGAGCCTGGCCGTCCGCCAAGGTCACCCCTTTCAGGCAACTGGTCCTTGGGCGCCATTTGGGACTTTGCCCTGGAGCCTCTACTGACCTGTACCCCTGGTCTGAGATCTTCAGATAGAAATCGTAGTGCCCACTCACACCCTTGTTTGGCCTGGCTTGTCTCCAGGATTATGAGTTTCTATTCTTTCTTGAAAATAGATGATCTATTCCCTCCCCTCACCGCCCGCCCCTCAAGACTCTCACTGATTTGAAAAAAGCAGAAATAACAGAAGAGAGAATCCTGTGGCACTGGGTTGGGCCCAAGGGCATCCTACCTTCGTGGAGTTTCTCTTCCTCCGAGGTGGTGTTAAGGATAGCATACACTGGGGGCAGGGAACCAGCAGGAAGAAGAGCCACACACCATACACAATGGCCATGATGGTATCCATCACCCAGCCACTGTAGTAGGAGCACAGCCCACAAGCCACAATGCTCTTCAGAGACAAGAGATAATTCTCCATGGTCTGAATCGCACAGCTGCTCTTGAGCAACTGAGCCCTGGGGGTACAATTGGAACCTGAAAACCCAGGCCCTCATCATAGAGCTGGGACCGTGTCACAAAGGCTCCTGATGACAAGGGGGTGAGAGTCAGAGGAGGAGGTGAAATCCCAGCCCCTCCCTTAGTTTGCTCCACCCTCTGCTGACCTTTCAATGCCGCCCCTCACCCTGTTGAGAGTCCACGGTCACGTCACTGGTCATTCCACCTGGAGCTCAGTTGTTTCCTTGTTGCTTGGAGATTTCTACTTGAGTTCCATCAATTTCATGCTTTTTCAAAGTCTGGGTTTGTTCCTGGAATTTTCACTTAATTCTCAGGGGACTTTATTCTTAGGAGGCTCTCTCTCTGCAACTTTATTTCCCCACATACTGTGTTTTACTTTGCATCAACACAAACATGGAATAAAGTTTCTTCTATATTTATTTCACTTTTTAATTTTGAACAATAAGTAACTTCATTGTAATTAATATCCGTTACCTTTAGCTAGAAAGGTTTATACAAAAATTAATAATTATTCAAAAGTTATAAAGCAAAATGCATGTAAATCAAATTGAAATAATTATTCAAAACGTATTTTTCACGTACTTCTAGAATTTTTGTTTTTGATATATTTAAAAGTTTTCTTGAAAACATGGAAGATTATGTGTTAACGCAGACACCCAAACACACACACACATCTTTTAACAAATCCAGTATTTTCAAATCTAAGAATCAGATATTTCAGTTCAAAATGCTTCTTTCTATTATTTTTGTTGGTCTTCAGTCAGTTAATTTAGCACTTATCTGGGCATATATTTTGCCTTCATTTTTGAAGGAGAGATATGCCAGACTTGGAATCCTTGGTTGACAATTTTCCTCTATCAGCTCTTTGAAAATACCATCCCACAGCCCCCATCCAAGTTTCTAATTAGATTATTTTTATTGTGGTTCCCTTGTGCATAAGAACACTATTTCTCTTGCGACTTTCAGGACTTCCCCTTGGTATTCCCACTGTTTGAATAGGAATCAAAGTGTTGATCTGTGTTATTGGTGGTTACCATTTTCTCTGTGGACTAATGCTTATCATCAAGTCAAGTTTCAGCCATTATTTCTCTACATAGTTTTCCTTCCTTTCCTTTCTGAGATACTCATTCAACATGGGTTGGTGTGCTGAATGATGTTTCAGAGGTCAATTTTATTCAAACTCTCCATCTATTAATCCAGCTTCAAGTCTACTGATTCCATCTTTTGCATCTCAAATGTGCTGTGAACCCCTCTAACCAGTTTTTCATTTCAGTTTTTGTAATTTTCAGTTCCAGAATTTCCATTTGTTCCCTTTTATAATTCAGTGATTTACTTTTTTTGTTGAGTTACTATAATCATATATTTATTAACAAACATGGTTTTCTTTAGTTCTTATTTTTAAAGTTGTAGTTATTTTTATTATGGTCACATTTTTACCTTCATACTGGAATAAGTGATTTATCTACTACAACATTAGAGAATCCTAACTTTTAGTGCACAATTGAGTTTTATTCAATATGTTTTTCCTATTACTAATTAGTGTCTTTCCCTTTTCACTTAAAGATATAACTCCCTTTAATATTTCAAATGAATGTAGTAAAAAGGTGATGAACTCTGTCCACGTTTTCTTATCTTCAAAATTCTTTATCTCTCCTTTAATTCTTAAAAGGAACTTTTCTGGGTACAGAATTCTTGCTTGTTATTGTTTCTCTTTTGAATACATCACTCTCTTCTCATCTCTAAAGTTTCAGCTAAAAAGACTCTACTGACAATACATGGTTTTCCCTTGATTTAAAGTTTCTTGATTCTTGCTGCTTTACTGCATGCTGCTCTTAAGATTGCCTCCTGTAATGCAACCCCTACTGGGCAGGTTCTTTACCAGTTCTCGCAGCCGTGTTGTCTTCATGTTCTCTGCTTTTCATTGTTGCTGTACTGCGTGGCGCTCACCGCTCTCAGCCGCGCTCCTCCGTCCTCTGCACTGCACCACCCCACTGCACTCCGCTGTGCCACCCTTATAAGCCCTGGCCTTGGCCCAGGTGAGTCCCATCTACATCTGCCCACACCCCACTCCAGGTGCCCGCCATTAGTCATGCTTTCAGGACATATCATTATGCCTAATGGCAGGAGGGCAGAAAAGCCTGATACTTTTTACCTTACCTTACAATCCACCCCCTCAGGGTTTTCTGCCATACAGTCTATATCAGTCCATATACAAGTCTTTATGTACATATACAGTCTATATACAAGTCTATGTTTCTCTTGGCAATATGAACACTGCAGCCATGGCCCACAAAAGCAAACAGTATATATCACAATATAACTAAGTTCAATTCTCCCTATTTGAAAGCAATCAAGCCATTGGCTGAGGATGGGGTTGGCAGCAAATGGTCTTCCAGGAGCAGGGTTTCTGCCTGTGGTCTGGAGCTTCCAGGCTTCCCCTGAGCAATAGTTCTTCTCATGGGTGTGAACCTCTGGTCTTCTTATAGCTGCTTCCATAATTCTAACAAATATGCATTGGGCTTCGTATGTATTTTAGTGTGATCTACACCTGCTCTCACTAAATCTGTCCACATTTGGTTACGGGTAACTTTAACAGGTTCTGTGATGCCAAGAGGCTTCCTTGCCCTCCTTGGCATTCCTTTTGACTGTTCAACAACTACCCGCATTCCTTTGTAAGCTTGAGAGCACCGGCTCTCAACTTCATCCAAGCTGACGATCATTGTTGTGACGTCGTGTATTTGACATTCCATGTAGGGTTCTAGAACAGCCATGATCCAAATGAGGATGAGGCGGCACTCTTTAATACCAAGTCTCTCATCCCTGCTGTGAAATGCTCGTCGTCAGGACCTCGAGTGTTCACATTAAACATGGCCTGCAGCATCCCCAATTCCCGAAGGACCTGTACCAGCTCGGTGTACCTCTGCCATCTTCTCACTGTCTCTGGCACGACTCCTGCATCAGCCCATACTGTCTGTATGGCAACCATTATCCATTCCAGGAGTGTGTGATGACCCTGGCCATACCGCCAGGTGCTCCACAGCCTCTGCCTCAAGGAAGGATGTAAAGTCACTGAGGCCAGTCTCTCCATTTCTTTTGCTGTTGCAAACAATCCCATCCAACCCCAGGTCCCACAAACGTAGCAGCCAGGCTGCCAAGGGTTCCCCTGGTTTCTGGTGCAACTATTTGCCCAAGTCCACCAGTTCTGCCTGGGTGTGTGGTCGGTAGGTAATAATTTCTGTCATTTGTGGTGGTCCAGCAGCCTGGCCCCCTGGGGCCATGGGTCGCTGTCACTTCATTTTCTGAGTCGCTTCATTTTCGGGTCTGGAGCATGGGACCAGCCTTCTTCTCTCCAGAAGAGTCTGGCATCTCTGGAGTCACAGGTTGGTTTGCCACCACTGGTTGCGACTCGGGCAAAGGGCCAGCCTCCCTCTCCTCCTCTCCTGAGGAGGGGTCTGGCATCTCCAGAGTCACAGGTTGGTTTGTCACCACCGGCTGCAACTTGGGCAAAGGGCCAGCCTCCCACTTCTTTCCTCTCCTTCTCCCCTGTTAAGGAGTCTGGCATCTCTGGAATGGTGGGTTGGTTTCTCCAAACTTCTTCCTCCAGAATCCTCAAGCGTTGTTGCAGTATCCGCATCTCTTCCCGCATCTCATCACGTACTTGCTGGATTCTGGATCGCTCTTTCTGCCTAGACTCTCGCCAAGCTGTGAGAAACACCCACCCCACTGTCCCTGCCGCCTCACGGGCACTGTATCCATCCAGGGTCTCCTCTATTTCATACAGGGCCTGTTCCAACTGCCCTGAGGATCCAGCTACCTCTGGCCATTCCTGGGGAGGTGCCCACCAGGAGAGGAGGCTGGCCACTGAGTACCATCTGCTCATGGCTGGCCACCTGGCAATCCCTCCCCAGGTTCCAAAGGGTTCCATTTCCGTCTGCATAGAGCCGTCCTGCTTTGAACTGTCCTGCCGTCTACGCCAAATGTAGCACAACCAACCCATACTGGGTAGGTTCTTTACTGGTTCTAGCAGCCATGTTGTCTTCAGGCTCTCTGCTGTTCGTCTTTGCCGTACTCTGTCGTGCTCCACCACTCTCCTCCACGCGCCTCCGTCCACTCCACTGCACTCCTCTGTCCTCTGCACTGCACCACCACACTGCACTCCTCTGTGTGTGCCACCCTTATAATCCCTGGCCTTGGCCCAGGTGAATCCCATCTACCTAGGCCCACACCCTTCCCAGGTGCCCGCCATCAGGCATGCTTTCAGGACCGCAAGGATCCATCATCTATCCTGATGGCAGGAGGGCGGAAAAGCCTGATACTGTTTACCTTACCTTACACCAAATGTTCACTAATCTTTTGAAATTTTTATTATAATGTGTCTTGCTGTGTGTCTCTTTGGATTCACCCTCATTTGAACATTCAAAGCTTACATGCTCAGCGAAATAAGTCAGAAAGAAAAAGAAAAATACAGGATGGTCTCACTCATAGCAGGAATTTAGAAAACCTAAATAAGAGACCAGGAAAAAGAGTAATCAATGCAAAGTAATAATCAAAATCAACAAGCAACTATAAACCAGAGACACACTACGGAGGGTGGGGTATTAGGTAGGGGCGTGGAGAGGAAGGACCAGAGTCAAAATAAAGGGGGGGTGCAATTGTATGGGGAATATAACCAAAATGAAAACTCATACATTGTACAAAGATGAAAAATGATGTAAGAATTATATAAAATAAAATATTAAAAAAAAAAAATAAAGCTTACTGGGTACTGAAGTTTGTTCCTCTCTCCAGATCAGGAACATTTCCAAGCTCTATCTTTTGAATAAATTTTCTGCTTTTTTTTTTTTTTTCTATCTCAAATCCTTTTCTGTGATTCTTAACAGTGCACATATTGCTCATCTTAAGTTATCTTCACTCCATGCCTTTTGTTTTTCTTTCTTTTTTTATTGTTTGTGGGGTTCGCCAGATGGTGGACACCTGGAGTGTGGGGTGGGCATGCGTAAGTGGCACACTTGAGC